CAATCAGTACCTCATTCAATTCTCTTGCCACCATCCAAGTGTCATTCTTTCAATAATCTCACTAAAATTTTTACAACAAAATGCAGCATTATACAAGGTATACATGTAACAAAAACATTTGTACCCCCTTAATATTTTGAAATTAAAAACAAAATGCAGCAGTGAGTTGGAGTACAAACCAAAACTTAAATCAGAACGTCTCATTCAAACTCAAAGGTAGAAACAGTCTTGGGAATGTAAATCAGTCCTAAATCTTTAAAAGACCAATAGAAGAAATATTTAAATACCTGAAAATATGCTACAGCAGACCACTAAAAGCATGGACTCTGGAACCAGACTTCCCAGGTTGGAGACCAAACTCTGCCCCTCATAGCTCTGTGACCTTGACCAAATTACTCCCATAGCTCTGTGCCTCAATTTCCCCATATATGGAATGCAGTTAAATGATAGTACCTACCTAATAGCATTATTGTATTAAGTCAGCTAATATTTACAGAGAACCTAGAAAAGTTCCTGGCACATAGAAAGTGCTGTGTAAATGTTTATTAAATAAATAAAAGGTAACTCTTGAATACAGGTAAGAGGAAATGTTACAGTTGTTATTACTAAGAAACTATAGCTTCTCAGATTGAATGCATGGCCTTGATCACATTATTGTTCATCACAGCAGCACCTTGAGCTATCATGAAATCAGAAGGCCTAATATTAGGAAGAGGAAACTGAGTTAAGAATAAACTGATAATTTCCTAAACAGATAATAAATAGTAGGAGTTAGTTCCAGCAATTTGATTTTTTTGAAAAGGCTAATTTAACACTAAACGATCTGGAAACACAAATTTGCTATAAAATCTTCAAGTTTTAAGATGATACTAAAATTTTCCAAAACATAAAGGAGTACAATGGAACTTCTAAAAAACATTAACACAATTTTACCCTAATCTAAAATGTCATATGATCATAAGAAATAGTCATACAAGTTGCAATGTATGTGCTGATTAGATCACATCTTTCCTTCCTTCATTCAGTAAATTCACTGGGTATGTTTTGTTTTGGTTTTTTGTTTTAGTATGTATTTGATGCTGGTATTTCAATATGGAACAGGGAACCAGTCACAAACAAATAAATATGTAAAATAATGCCAGGGAGTGGTAAATACTAGGAAGGAAAATGAAGCAAAGTAAAGAGAATGGAGAGTGACAAGGAGGAGAGGCAATATGAGGAAAACTTTTTGGAGCAGACAGACATTTGAGCAAAGGCCTAAAGAAGGCAGGAAGGAAACAATGCAGATATTAACAGAAAATGCTCACCAGGCAAGGAAATAGCAAGATCCTGAGGTCTGAGCTGGAGACACGCTTGGGCTCTTCAAAAAACAACAAGAAGCCGGGCGCAGTGGCTCACGCCTGTAATCCTAGCACTCTGGGAGGCCGAGCGGGCGGATGCTCGAGGTCAGGAGTTCGAAACCAGCCTGAGCAAGAGTGAGACCCCGTCTCTACTATAAATAGAAAGAAATTAATTGGCCAACTAATATATATAGAAAAAATTAGCCGGGCATGGTGGCGCATGCCTGTAGTCCCAGCTACTTGGGAGGCTGAGGCAGTAGGATTGCTTGAGCCAGGAGTTTGAGGTTGCTGTGAGCTAGGCTGACGCCACGGCACTCACTCTAGCCTGGGCAACAAAGCGAGACTCTGTCTCAAAAAAAAAAAAAAAAAAAAAAAAACAAGAAGGCCAATAAGATGATCCAAATTATTAAGAGAAAAAGGCAACAAAACAGGGGGTAGAAGGAGCCAGGGGCCAGAGAGTGTAGGACTTCAGGGGTCATATGTGGCTGATTTACATACAAGGCCCCTAAAATTCTTTGAAAATTTTAGATGTAGGGTCTTTGTCACCTCCCTATGAATCTGGCTGGGCTCAGACTACTCAGACCAGTGGGATATGATGGAAATGACTGTCATTTCAGAAGCCAGGTCATAAAAGAGGATGTGACATCTGTCTTGCTGCATGGATCATTCATGTTTGCAGCCTGAGCTGCCACGTGACTTTCCTAAGGCTGCCATGCTGTGAGAAAGCCAAGCTACATGTGAACGGAACATGTAGGACCCCTGCTCCCCCAAGTCAGCTATCCTAGACTTTGAGTCATCCCAGCCCACATGCCAGACATGCAACTAAATAAGCCTTGAGATGATTCCAGCCCTCAGCCACCAAATAGTCCCAACTAAGGGACGCTTAGCCCCGACACTTTGGAGCAGAAACAAGCCACCCACACTGTACCTTGCCCAAACTGACCCACACAATCCATGAGCATAATAATAAAATGGTCCTTTTAAGCCACTACATTTTGTTCTGGTTTATTACATAACAATAACTTGTTACATAACAGTAACTGAGACGCTATGATAAGGATTTGAGATTTCATTTAAGGAAAGTATTTAGAGAATCGAGTAATGTGATCCAATTTATGAAGTAAGAGGATCAGTCCAGTAGAGGCCAGATTGAGGCTATTGCAGTTGTCCACCCATGGCATAGTAGTACCTGGGGTAGAGGAGAAGCAATGAAGGTGGTGAGAATTGATGGAGAAAATATTTTGAAAGCAAATCTGACAGTATTTGCTGATGGGTTGGAAGTTGCATCTAGAAAGAAACAGATCAAGAATAACACCAAGGATTTTAGCCACAGCAATTACGCAATTAATTGCATAGAGCTGTCATTTTGACTGAGATACAAACATTGGAGGAAGAACAGGTTTGGAGAATAGAAATCAAGAGTTCAGTTTCGAACATACAGCATGTCCATTAGACAATCAAATGGAGATGTTGAGTAGGCAACTGGTTATATGAGTTTGGAGCTCAGGAGCAAGGCTGGTGCTATATTATTGTGTTCAACTCCGTGTTCCTCATTTGAGGAAAGGTGATGACCACTACAGAATGTTCTTCTGAATATAGAAGGTCACCAAGATGCAGATGCTTCTGGAAGCCTCTCATTAAAGAAAAAAAAATGAAGGAACTAAATATGGATTGATCAAAAATACCCACTATGTGTGTGGTGCGCACCACCTGGGGATTGGGCACGCTTGAATCTCTGGCACATGGCGGGGGGGGGGGGGGAGTGGCAGAAGTAATATATGTAACCCTAACAATATTTGTACCCCCATAATATGATGAAAGAAAAAAAAAAGAGCTTTATGGCAAAATATCAGCCTAATTGGAAGCTGATATTTAAAAATATTTTTTTAAAAAATACCCATTATGGTGAAGAAGCACTTGAGTGAGTACAACGTACCATTAGGACTCATCTTTGATTAAGTTATCTTTTTGAGGAACTAAAACTCTAGTGTCTACTTGCATGGAGACTAACACTGAACACTTCATCCAGGGGTGGGGAACCTGCGGCCTTCTTATTTTAAGATTGTTCTTTTTTAAGCACCACAGGAGACAGAAAAGCTTCATCTTTCTCTACTGTACCTATTTTAATAAAAGGATTTGTTCTGTAAAATTTGTAAAATTCAGTCAAAAGGCTGCACTCAAGGATCCAGAAGTCCACGTGTGGCCCCAAGGCTGCAAGGTCCCCAATACTCCTTTCCCCACAGCAGCTCTCACTCCAGAACCAGACACAGTTATAGAGAATTTGGCCTAAAACAAAGCCCCCAAATGACACAGCAGATGGATTGGACCGCATGAAGTTGTGTTGGTGCAGCTTTCTCTAAACAAAGCAAAGCCAAACAAAACCACACACTCACATGTTCCAAGCAAATGGAATCCTGGCTTGTCTAAAATTCATCACCTATTATGAGAAATAAATGCCTGTTGTTTAAGCCTCCATGTCTATGATATCTTGTTATAGCAGCCTGAAATGACTGACACACTCCCCTCTATGAATTTGTACGTAGTTGAGGTCTTTTGTTTCATTTCTGGTTGTTTTTTTTTTTTTACTAAGTCGCACATATAAGTATTATGATGGCCTTGAGAGGAAAAGCTTCGATTGAAGCCCTCCGCACTGATATCCCAACTGCTGTCATTCAATTCACTGTCTCTTTTTCCACTGTCCTTCACACTCAATTCATTTGGATTTGAATGTGTACTGGAAGTGAAAAGGAAAAGAATTACTTCGGTATCCATAAAAATGTGTAAAATGTCAAACGCATTGCTTAGAGATAACGATAAAGATTCCGAAATTGCCTTAAACTTGCAGTAGATTTATTCTTTCCACAAGGGGACAAGAAATGAAAAGGAACTGAGATTGAACCCTATTTTTAAAAACCAGTGAGAGCAGCAGTTAATAATAAATAATATTTCACTCTTAGATATCAAACCTGACAGAGCAGGGACCACGTGCCTCACCTGGAGTGCTCCAGGAAGGCAGCACTGACCCTGGGGGAGGACCCTATCCAAACTAGACCCAAAGGAAGTTACCGTGGGCAAAACAGAGCAGAAACAGACATGGGCCTACGTGAACCAACCCGTGACTGTCAGGCCTCCTTCTGCCCTCATCTGCGGAGACTCTTCCCCATTCAAATAAAAATCAAACAAGCCCCCTAAAATCAGCCATTTAAAGTCCCAAACCCATGGCATCCCGCTGGTCTCCCCGCGAGAGGAGCACAAAGACACTCCACTGTCCCTAGACTTGGAATTCTCCACAGCCTCGCCCTCCCGGACTTCTGCGGACATGGAAAGCGGCCGTGTCTGCACGAAGAACCCGGAGTGGAAGGCCCCGGAGTGAGCCCCTAACGTCCTGAGGGTCGGCCCAGCTTGGTCTCCCCTTGCCTGAACTCTGCTTGGGCACTGCTCACAAAGCTTCCTCCTCCATGTCCCAACCCCGCCTTGGCAGGAGCAAGTCACAGTGACAATGGCCACCGGCAGAAGAACGCGGCCGCTGGCCAAAACACCGACCCAGACTACCGAGGGTTCTGGCTGTCGCCCTGCTCCGCGCGCTGAGCGCCACCCCGCGGGTCACCCTCGCCCCTCGCTCCTGCGGCGGCGGCGGCGGCACTAGCACCACTGCTCCGCCAGAGGGCGCCGGGTCCGCGGGCACTAGAAGCAACGTGGCAGTGCACGACTAGGTGCGCGGGCCTCTGTCCCGCGCCGCTATGACCGTCGTCGGCTGGCCGGCGGGCTGCGCGGACAGGCGGCGCTGCAGAGATAGCTCATCCGAAGCTGGATGCAGCGCTAGCGCCCCGGGGCCGCCGCCGTTGCGGAGCAGGATGTGAGCCATGTCAGCGTTGGAGCCTTTGTCCGCGTCTTTTGCCCGCAGTTTGGTAACCAGGTAGCCCAAGGGCGCATCCCGGGGCAGAGGCAGCTGGACTAAGCCACAGAATAATAGTGGGGCCACCAGGCGGGGCGCGAGGTCGTTCTGATCCTCCAGGCCCTGAAGAGGCGGAGACCCCCGGTCGAGAGCCTCCACTTCCAGCTGCATCTCCGCCAGCTCCTCGCCGTCAACGCACCGTCGAGCGCGAAGCCCCCCAGTGGCTGGGTCCACCGAGTCGTAGGTGGACACAGAGTTCCCGGAGCGCCCCACCCCGGCCTCTAGGAGCCGGTAGGTGACCTGGCCGTTGCGGCCCAGGTCCGGGTCCCGGGCAGCCACCTTGGCCAGGTAGGCGCTGGGCGGGTTGTTCTCGCGCACCGACACTGAAGTCATAGACTGGCTTCGTGAAGAGCGGCGCGTTGTCGTTCTCGTCGCCCACGCGCACCGTGTAGGGCTTCACCGTGCGCAGTGGGGGCGCGCCGCGGTCCTCGGCCACCAGGGTCAGGTTGTACTCAGCAATGCGCTCGCGGTCCAGCGACGCCGCGGTCACCACCAGGTAGCTGCCCGCGTAGGCCGGCTGCAGCCGGAAGTGCTCGTGCCCATAGAGGGCGCAACGCACCTGCCCGTTGGCGCCCGAGTCCCTGTCCGAGGTGCTGACCAGAGCCACCAGGCTCTCGCGCGCCGCCCCCTCAGGCACCAGAGAGGTGGCATCAGCCTCTGGCGTCCCGGGTCCCGCCGAGGACGTCGCGTCCGCTCCCCCGAGCGCGGCAGCAGCTGCAGCAGCCGCGAAGGGTGAGGCGGCTGCCACACCGGGGGCGGCCAGCGGCGTGATGGCGATGTCGGGCGCGTTGTCATTAACGTCGCGGATGCGCACGATGACCTTGCAGGTGGCGGCCCGGGGGCCGGGGCCGCGGTCCTGCGCCCGCACGTCCAGCTCGTAGGTGTCCTGGCGCTCGTAGTCCACGGGCCCGGCCAGGGTGAGGCGGCCTGAGCGCGGGTCGAGCCGAAAGAGGCGGCGCGCCTCGGGCGGTGTGCGGGCGCCAAAAGCGAACACCACGTCGCCGTTGGGACCCTCGTCGGGGTCGGCTGCGTCCAGGTCGAGAAGCAGCGAGCCCACGGGCGCGTCCTCCGCCAGCTCCACCTCGGCCACGGCGCCCTGCGGGAAGACCGGGCTGTGGTCATTGGCGTCCAGCACGCGCACTCCGAGGGCGGCCGTGGCGGAGCGTGGCGGGCGGCCGCCGTCCTGGGCCACCAGCTCCAGGCTGTAGGCGGCCTGGCTCTCGCGGTCCAGCTCTTGCAGCAGCACCAGATCCGCGCACTGGGCTCCGTCCGCGCGCGTCTGCAGCTCCACGCGGAAGGGGCTGTGTGGCCGGCCAGGCGCACGCTCTGCAGCCCGTTGGCGCCCACGTCCTCGTCCACCGGCACCTCCAGGGGGATGCGCGTGCCCACGGCCGCACCCTCGGACACCTCCACCGGGATCTGGGCCCTCGGGAAGCGCGGCGCGTGGTCGTTGACGTCCCTCATCTCCACCTCCACGTGCACCAGCCGGAACTGCTCCTGAGAGAAGCTGACCATGTCGAAGGCCAGCACGCACTGTGGGGCCTGGCCGCACAGCCGCTCGCGGTCCAGGCCTGCGTCCCCGACGGTCAGCTGCCCATCACCTTCCTGGAGCGACGGAGCAGAGAGCTGTTGAACTGCTTCATCAGGCGAAACTGGCTTGGCACCTCGCGCTGGGAATTAAACTGGACGTGGTCAGACAAAACACCGATGATGGTGCCAGGGGCTTCTTCCATATAGGTGAGAAAATTGACAGTATCCGTGCAAAATCCTGACACTAGCAGCAGCCACAGAATCAGCAAGGACTCCAGTCCAACCCTGCGAAATAAGAGCCTCTAGCGAGACATATTTGTTCCTCAAAGTGAAAAGCCAATCGCAAGCTCTGTGCTAAAACTTCCAGCCCTCTCAAGCCCTCCCAAGTGCACAGTCAGTAGATACTTGCCCTCGTAAAGCATCTCATTACTAAATCCTCTCTGCTGTATAATCGCTTTTCTCTGCCTCAGGCCTAAGCCTGCCTCTTCAGAACCCTACCAGGAGGCTACATACAGAAAAGTATTCAAATAAGCATACATTTGGGCCAATCCGCAGAGTCTCGCGGCCTCTGGATTACTTTGTTCCCCTAAAAGGACTCATGAAAGGGCCTGGAAAGCTAAACGGTGGCCAGGACAGTGGAGGGGGTCATTAAGATCCCTTTAGAAGTTTGCACTGTAAAAATACATCCTGCTCATTTATCCATTGTACTGGCCTGTCACTATGACAAGAGCAGGGCATCCATCCATACACTCTTGAACACTCTTATATATTCCTCAGACAGAGGCCCAATTGCTCTTTTCTCTTAGCATGTTGAGATAAACACATACATGCTCAGTGCAATGCACCTTTTGCCACCCACAGTTACCTGCCTACATTGGATTGTCATTTCCTGTGTTGACAGATTTTTGAGAAACAGCTTCTGGAGAGTCAGGCAATGTCTAATCAGGGAAGAACTGTTTTCCAAAGTAATTATTTCTGAATAGTTTTTCTATCACAAAGAAACCATTAATGATGAAATTTCAGCCCCCTCATCTCCTTTTATGTCAGCAATTACTTATCTGTGAGGAAATCAATGTCAGACAGAGAGGTCTGACACCCACAAACCACTACGAGGGATAGTTAAGGGTAAGAAGAAGATTTAGGGAAATATATTGCAGCCAGTCTTGTTAGAAAATTGCTATAGACCAATTATTTTTTAAAAGCCCTTGGCAGAAGAAAACCATGGGTGGTCTGATGGGGTGAAGGCTAAAGAAACATTAAACCATTTGTCTAAAGCACTATAAATGGTCCTGTGTTAAGTTGTCTTTATGTGTGAAGTGTTCAAAATGCTAAACAGTCACCCGTATTAATGATGACATTGTTCCTCCTGCCACAGAGTATCATCAGTGCATAATGCTCTTTAACTAGTCATCTCGAATCAGTGAGCAGGCTGAGTTATTAATATGCCCAGGCTATTCTTGGCTCCTCTGTGATCTGTACTGCTATTGATTCCTGCAGGAACATGTCAGTAAATGACTATTTTCTCCTTTCACTCTTCAGAGGGAATTGGCATGTATTTTAGCACCAGAACCTATGAATCCAGTTCTGAAACTGAGCATCGTTGATGAGATAATTAATTTTCAGGGGTTTTAATTTGGTGGAACATTTGGCAATGACTCTAATTATAAGTACCAATAACCAGTATTGGAGAAGTATAGTGGGAAGCACGAGTCGATTTGGGTAGGGTACTCTGAGATCCTAAAGAGAGAAAGTACTTCATTTCTCTAGGTTTTAATTTTAATTTTGCCTGATGAGGTATCCAGCTGAGGAAGGGAACAGCTCTACTTCAGCATAGTAAAACCAGATTTCTTTTAAGCCAGTATCCTCAATGGCATCAATAGACAGGTTTTTTGGGATTTTTTATTTACTTTTTTCTTCTTAGAACTGAATATCCCATGGAAGCTCCTGTTTATTTAGCCTCTGAGTCTCAGGGAGGAAAAGAGAATCCGGCTTTTCCACCCAGCATCTTAATTTCTTTATATTCCTTAACTGACTGAAACTGCTTCAGCTGAATCCTTTAAAAGGCAAGTACCATGCTTCCACATACATTAGCCAGGAGAGGGACCCATTTAACCACAATCCAAGCATCCTTTCTTCCTCTTCTCCCTTACAATCCCTGCCAGGCCTGGCTTCTGCTCATCTTCAGCATTATTGTTGCTATTCACGATCAGAAAAACCATTCAGCATATTGAAAAGGAAGAATAGCCAATGACTCCATCTACAGAACATCAAAAGATCCAGATAAAATATTTTACAAAGGCAGGCAATCAAACATATTACCTCCACAATGCTAAAGCATCTGGATGCTTACATTTGGAAACATGCAGCTATGATGTTTAAATGCTTGATTGCATTTCCCCCGACTTTTCCTCCAGCTGTTTGGCATCAAGTAGACCATCCACAATAAGGAGCATGCTATATTGTTAGCGATTCATTATTAGCACTATCGCTGCTTCATAATCAACAAATACCTTATTAAAACACTGCTTTATGAATGAAGGACAGCTGGAGTTTCAGGAAAGAGACATTTTCTGAGACAAAAATCAGTTCTGTGCCAGTAGGGTGACAAGCTGAATAATATAGAAACTGTATGATCTGTCCCCCTGGGATATGTCATCAGGAAGCTGTGTTTACAGCCCTGAGCTGCTGGTGCATGCATGTCCCATTCTGTTGGCTCTGTTAGATAAAAATCTGTCTCGATATTAAAAGCACTGTGGAAGAAATTTGCTTTATGTTGCGTGTTTTCCCATTTGCTAGTATATTGCCAAACTCTAATCCCCACCACCAAAAAAATGTATTCTGATCTCTGTTGGAATCAAATGTAAAGCAAAACAAACAAAAAGGTCAAAACGGATACCACACCACAGGAAGACCAAAATGTGAATAAAGCAGCAATTTGTTCCTCTTGCTCAGTTAGGTTTTAAAATGGGAGGGTTTTGGTGAACTCACCACAGAGTTTACATTTGTTCCTAAAACAAATGCACCAGACATGCTAGTGTTCCCCAAAATGTCAAGAAATCTGATCTATAAAATACAATTTACATTCCAGTCTTTTAAATAAAAAATTTTCTATTTTGCTGAACATATAACACCCATGTAGCCCTTTATACACTACAGCACACTGTGTGTAAACTAAAGTAACTTTCACCAAAAATGTGGGAAAAAATTAGCCCCCTAATTCAGAATAGTGGCCATGCCTTTGCATATTTCCCTTTCCTAGTACATAAAACTGATACATATGTTTGGGGAAAAGGTTAAGCCATACAAAATTTTCTAATTTGCAAATTTGGCTGGATTATTGTGTCCATGTATCAGAGTTAGCATCTACACTTACAGGACCTTGAACTAATATTTCTCTAGGCTAGAAAGACTTTTAGTGCAATTTGAGCAAATCACTCTGTATACTATATTGAGACCCATTTTTATTTCTCAACTGCACAAACATTCTGGAGATGAATGAGCAGAATATTACCAAGCACAATGTTGTTGTCTTCAAGAAGCAAGTTCCAGAAATTAAAGTTTTTACGGCTGTTTGAAAGAAAACAAATCAACCTAATAGCTTTTTTAAAATTTTCTTTTTAAACATTATACCTTGAAAAAAAACCCAACTCAATCTTTAGAAGTATGAGTCCCCAAAACAGAGAGAAATTGTTTTAAATTATCTCATAAGAAGTATCATTATCTCACATTTCTGGTATACCATTGCATAATCAATTTGTTATTAGTTCTTGACTGTGCAGTCATTTATTTTAAAAGTTATCAGCAAAATTCTGGTCTTTTTTGTGAAATCATTTCAGGGAAAATAACCCTGAAGTCAGCCAAAACACCATCTACAAGAGTAGCATAGAAACAAATGATATTTTATCAGCTGAAGTGGTTTAACCCAGAGAAAATCACAGAAAACCACTACAGAATACTAATACTAAACATAAGTTCACCTTAACATAAAATAAAGGTTTAAATGATGTAATCTTCACTTAGAAAAAGGTTTCCCAAAAACATCATTATGTTAATAAAGATAGTATCAAAACTATGTAATCTTCAAATACTATATAAAATTAGTTCTTAAACTGCTGATGTTTTTAATATCTCTGCATGAAGGAAATTAAATCAATGAGTAACGAAAAACATTTTACCATTTTGATCCGGAAATGCTTCTAATCCCAAGTGAGCCAGGGAAATTGACTTTGGTACTTGACCTTCAGTTATTTGTTCAAGAATCATACTTGTGTCCCTCCCACCCTGAAGAGAGGAGGCTTTCCCCTTCACCAGAGAATATAGCAAAGCAAAGGAAGAATATTTAATAAAAGAATAAAGACTAAAAAGCAGTATTTCTCCTGTGCCTTATTTGTCCTCACCTCTTTTCTTCTTAGCTGAGCCTCTTTCTATCCCCACTCTGCACAAAAGCTCACGACCACCAGTAATTAGAGCACTCTCAGGCCCTTTAGCAACAGATATTTAATCATGTATTGGTGAAACAATAAAGCAACAGCCTTGTTAGAAGAAAATACTTAAACATTAAAAAAAAAAAATACACCAGAGCTTAGAGAAGGTCCCAAGTGCCAAATGACACAGAGAAAACCATATCAAGTACAAACGAGAAGTGATCTCAGAGTTTATAGATAAGATTACAGTCAACCAGGAATGAAGAGAACCTGGGAGTGATGTGCCCAAGATAGGGGAAAGGCAGGCACAGATCCTGCAGGGACTGAGTAAACCAGTTGGTTGGAGTGGACAGTTCAGGGAGGACAATATGCAGAACAAGTTTGGGTGAGTGGCACCGTTGAGGAAGACCTTGCTGCTAAAGCTAAAAAATTTCAACGCTTTTAAGGCAGCAGTTAGAAACCACTGAGGTTTGTGAAGCAAAGGATTGTGAATGTGTGTTTTATTATGATAAATAATATAGATGATTGCCTTCCCTAAACATTGATAAAATCCTTAAAAAGGATTGTGTTTTATTCGAAGCTTTAAACCAGCATCCAGCACAATGACTGGCTTATAATAAATACTTATCAAATGAATGATCAAGGCAGTATTGTATGGCATACAACTTCTGCCTACATCAAAACCAACCTGGTAGCAGAATGAATTAAAGAAAGACCAAAAGCAAGAAGGTCAAAGTACCCCTGCAATCTAGGTGCCAGATGTTGAAGGCCTAGACAATGAGGAGGAAGTAGTATAGGGTGAAAATCTGAGGATCATTGCAAAGGAAGAATTGGTAGGACTTCATGACAGGTAAGCTCTAGGAGACGTAGAAAATGAAACAAATAAATGACCCTAAAGCTATTGGAAGTCTTAAAAGAATGATCATACTTTCTCAGTGTTCCCAAATCCTGAAACATACAGTATTTCCAAATAGAATTTCCAAAAGTTCCTGCTACTCACTAGCTGGACCAAAGACAGAAGACTTCATCCCTCCAAACCTCCATGTCTTCAAGGAAGAATACCTATCTTGAGGGCATTGAGGGATTGCTTTGACACTCAAGTAAGACAATGTGGGAAGAGTAAAAAGCCCAGTGCTTTGCATTTTGGGGGATCTCAAAAGACAATCCTGTACTTTGTTCTAGGCATTTGCACATTGCATTGTGATTTATTTATTTAAAAGTATATTTCTTAGCCCATTCTGAGTCCTTCAAGGGTGTGGATGGTGTCTTTATCAAATTTGGATCCTAGTGCCTGGTATAGTGCCTTCCACATGAAAGGGACTTGTTAGTATTTGTGGAATACTGGTGAGGCCCCCACCACCCCATACCGTTTCTAGGAAATACTTGCCATATAATGTCATCTGAATTCAAAACCAGAAAACTGACTAAAGGATCATAGGCTTAGTATATGGAACTTGTATATTAAATGGGACTTCTACAATAAAGGAAACTTATTGAATAATATTAGAGACCTGATCCCAGCCACATGTAACAAAACTGGTTTATTGGGTCAATTTGAACACTGACCTATCAGAACATGTAGGACATTTGTTGTTTTTATCTGCTCAGCATCCAGTTTTCTTTTGAGACATCTCTTCACCAAATCAATCCATGTAAGTACGGTATGCACCCTTGCTGCTGGGATGGTCACATGACCTAGGCTCAGTCAAACTGGGGTATCCCATCCCACCAGCTACAGCAATTGATCCAGGTAGGTGCATGTGTCCCATTCAAGGCCACTCAGAGCCACCTGGCATTACTTCCAAGATTATTGCTGCAATTACTAAGAAAGAGAGCCTTTTTCCTCTGAAGTTGCTTAGTACAGAAGGTATAATCTGGAATGTGAAATCACCAGGTTGGGAATACTTGCCTGAGACTACAGTCAATGTTTTGCAAAAAAAAAAAAAAGATGAGTCAATGGCACTAAGCACTTAGATCCAACCATTTCTGATCTCCTAATGAACTTTTAATTTAAGTGAAACATTGAGTTCCCCTATTATGTTGAAGCCAATTAGTGGTTGGATTTTTGTCTCTGGCCCCCTAAACAACCATAACAAATTCCAAAACTGGGAAAAGAATTATAAGTAACAGACCTGAACATGAGTAATTAGCTGAGGAGATCCAGGGCGTAGGTTCATGGGGACTTATGAACACTAAGTTGAGAGGTTGACCTTCATTCTTGTTATATATTTGCACAGCTGCTAGTAAACCATTGTTCATATTTTTGGACTCAGATCATGTGTCTATTAAAGCTGGAGACTAGGCAGTCAGTGATAAGAAGAGCTCAGTTACCTTTATAAGAAAAAGATAATCTCCAAATTGGCCATAGTTCCTCTGAAAGTAGAAAGAGGAGAAAATATAATGTCACTAAAATAGTCCCTTTCTGATTGAGGCCAACAATCCAAGAGAGTTGAGAGTTGGCAATCTTGGCAAGTTTTAAAGATAGAAAAAGCAAAATTTTCTTCACCAAACTAAAATTAGTGCAAGAAAATAAAGGCAAAAAATAATCAAAGAGATAAGAGTGAGCCCTCACAGATCTGTCCCTCCCAAATACCCCTGAAGTCTGGCATATCTAACTTAAGAAAAATGACAATCAACCCACAGCAAAAAGCCATTTCAGACTGGGATACAATTTACAGGCAAAAGGAGTATATTAGCTGTTACTCCCACCCCAAGAAATCATCCTGAATGGCCCTGAAGAGATCCAAGTAGAGGTCATTTAAGCTGAGGGCCAAGATCATGAACAAATCATCTGGGGCTGGTGCTCAGAGATGGAAATCGCTAGGCTGGGCATAAACTCACTCTGTCCAGTTTTGATTGTGGAGTCGATCAAATGCAAGTAAACCCTAAATTTTACCTAGCAAACAAGGGATGATGACGATGAATCGCCAATAAAAAGTAGTCAGTTACCTTGGTAAAACCCTTGAAAAATCATCCCAATAGCCACAGCTCAGATGTGGTCACAAAAGACAAAGGCTAAGAAAGACCACTTTTGAGAGCAGAATCTGGGGAGGCTACCTTAGCTGATCTAGGAACACACACACAGAATAAGGAGTCCTTTCATCTTCTGGCCAACAGGATATGCTTATGTGCCATGGACAATGGCCACTGTGTGTGGTTTTCCCTTTTTAATTTTTGCAGAGTTTTTTAATTGCAGTTAGCTATCAGTAGAGGTGTTGGGGAAGGTTAAATGCATCACAGGCAGGCGTGTATTACATAGGCAGTCATATTATGAGCAGTTATACCCAAAAGCACATCTTCCCAAGATCTGACTCATAGGACCCAGAAATTATACCAATTTTTGAGCTTCCTTAAGGAAACTGATTAAGCTACCAACTGATGGGAACAAAGAGTGTCCTAGTTAGCAAGGCGCAGGGTAGAGCAGCAGGAATTTTAATTATTTACCTTTCCCCTTTTCTCTCTAATTCATCCTTTCTGATAAATGTAACCATCCTCGATATGAAACATGCTGTGTCTGGCTGTACTTTTATCCCTTCCTTATCGTTGTCTCTCAACCAATCATCGGATGTCTTTGTTGACTCATCTTGTGTCTGTAACATTGCTGTCAGCCTGCAGATGAAGATTCCATTCAGTTGACTCACCTACCCTTCCAAAATCCTCTTCCCCTCTCCTTTTAATCCAAGGCAGACAAGGGTCCCCCCCCATGCCTGAGAGTGTACCTCTTATCTGTTTCTCTTATTCCTGGCTGCCTTATTCAGGACAGCTGACAGCTCTACAGAATAGCTTCTGTCTCTCTCAGATCCCTCATCAAAGGAAGCTGGGGGAAGGGATTTGGAGGCCCTTCTTAGACTGAGAGCGCAAAGGAGGGAGAGCCTGACCCAGGCAAGATACAGTGGGACAATATAGTTCATCTGTTTGTTCCATCTCCTTGTGAAGGACAAGACTGCGTGGGCTTTTAAATCTCCTAGATCAATTTAACCATCAAACCCTTAGCAGTGAATGGATAATAGATATAGAATTTTCAAGTGTTCCTGTTTGCCTTTAGGATTCACTTCATTCTCATTTAATAACCTCCATAAACTTAATATCTATTGCTAATAAATTTGTTTGGCAATGTGAAGACCAAAGAAAATATGTGGAGTTATATCTTACCCACAGGTTAAATTCTACGTTTATCACAAAGCCAAATACATTATAAATTATAAAGGGCTAGTAAATAAAAATTATTATTACATCATTCCCTAGTCAAAAACTTTTAGTTATGCCCATTACCTCTAGAATAAGATATAGGTGGCCAGGTGTAGTGGCTCACACCCGTAATCCTAGCACTTTAGGAGGCTGAGATGGGAGGATCACTTGAGGCTGGGAGTTCGGGAATAAGATATATACTCCTTAAACCTTCCATGAGAGTTTTAGCCCTATCTTTTTTTCCACTATTCAGCATCTTCCATTCCATAGTTTGTGCTACAGCTCAGTCAGATATGATACTTCCCCAAACTGCTTTACTCATTCCCACTGCTGTACCTTTTTGCATATGCTGTTCCCAGTGCCTACAGTGCTGTTCCCTCTGCATATGCTGTTGAAATGTTATACATTCTTTAAGGTGCCTGCACATCACATGAAGATCTTGTTAAAGTGCAATTTCTAATTCAGAAGATCTAGGGTAGGGCCCAAGATTCTGCAGCTCATCTCTATAGCTGCTCTCTGAGGAGGTAGGTTTTAGCGCTCGTTCAAAGCTCGGCTCTTTGGGGGCAGCATTCTCTCACTGCCTCAGCAGTGAAGTATCTCTCCTACCTCATTCATTAGACTTACTCCATTTAGCCATTCTGCTCTACCCTGGAGCTAGGCTTCACAGTAAGATTATGATGTGGCACAATTATTCTTGTAAGCATAGTTGTATGCTTAAATGTCATAGTAAGGGTACATCATACTTTCAGAAATCACAACAGTGTCATGCTCAAAGCGATTGTTGTTCAATGGATGCAGATGATTAAAACTAGACCAATTAAGCCATCATTGCTGTAGAGGGTCTCCCTTAAAGGGACATGTTTGAAATAGACCCAGATCAGGTGTCACAGCAACCACCTGCACACTGGATAGAGCAGTGGTGAAGAGTTTGGGCAGATGTCTTGGGTGTGAATCCTGGCACCACCATGCCCTAAGGATGTGGCTTTGCACAGCTCACCTAAATTCTCATAAGTCTCAGTTTCATTCTCTTTTATCAAAGAGCAGTGATAATACCATTCTGTAGGACTATTGTAAGGTTTAAGTCAGGGAGCAGATGTAAATGAGATGGTGTTTATACAGTATTTAGCACTGGGCTTGTTGCATAGTAAGTGCTCTATAATAAACATGAATTTTATGATTACCTGGAGTGACAGTTCTTTAAGGTTGCCGTGAAAATTCTAGCACATCCAACAATTGAAGATTCCTTTAATCATTTCAGGGCTGTGATTCAACACTCCCACTATGACTCTATTGCTCTCTTTAAAGCTGAACAGTGATCACAAACACAGTCTGTAAGGGTTAATAACCACCAGTTATTCTCTCCTTCCTGTATGTTACAGCTAAGAATATGCCAATTCCAACTCTAGAAACTGACATAAAAGATTACTAAAATGTAGTCAGGTTACCACAGCAACCGCTAGATGTCATCTTTAGAATGTCCCTCTGCTTCACATCCTATTTGTGTGGGAGCTATAAAGTATATATATGTTCACCCATCTACTAAATAATTGGCTCTCATACAGTTTTAAAGAGAAATCATAACCATTTATGTATCAACATAAAAATATATGCAACTGCAGAGTATATTATAAAATATATACAAAAGACAAGACTTCCTCAATATTTAATTTCTTTTTTCTTTTATCTGTTAGTATAGGATTTTTCTTTAAAATTAATGAGTCACAATTCAACTTGCTTTATTTGGGGAAAAAAATTCTTTTATTTTTACAGCTTTTCTCTCCTTAAAAGCAATATAATGCATGCCCAATGTGAAAGCCACAGAAAACCTCACATTAAAAAAAGAAAATTCCTTGTAATTTCATTATTCAAACATAACAGCTTTCAACATATATACACATACATGGGGCTGAGGGAGATGGGGGCTACATATATGTATGTAGAGATACATATGTGCCTATACCAATATATGCATATATAGATACATGCTTATATAGATACAAATATACTCATACATGTGTATATATAAGAAAAATATTTATAAATGTTTTCTGCATCCTGCTTTTAAATATGGCCTATTCTTTACTTTTAGCCTTATAGTAAATTTTTTCATGTTACTAACTAGTCTTGAATTATGTCATTTTAATAGTTGCTTGGGAGGACTATACCTTATGCATATACCATAATTTAACTATTCCTTTGCTGTTGAATACTCTATGTCTTTGGATTAGATTTGGCTATTTGGGAAAGAACAATTAAGATACAGTTGCTCAAACTAGACTGAAATTTATTTTTGCTCATGCAAAATAAGTCTCAAGGTCCGTATGGTGATTCCCACAGTTCCAGGACCCCTCTTTGTGTCTCGCTGTTTCCACATCCTCGGAATGTTGCCTCATGTTCCAAAATGTATGCTTCAGATCCATCCTTCACATTCACAATCCAGTAAGCTAACAGTGGGAAGGTCAAAGAAAAAGTCCCTTCAAGGCAAGTTCTTAGATGTCACACACAACGTGAGGCATGAAAGGTGTTCCTAGGTAGCCATGTGCCCATCTACAAAGGATTCTTATTGCTAAGGAAGAAGAGACAGGATAATAGGAGAAAAATGCAACAGTCTCTGACATAGACATTTAACTTGTTTCCAATTTTTTGTTTTGTTAATGATGTGATGAACATCCTTGTGCACACATCTATACATACATCTCTAATAATTTCCTTGAGATAAATTCCCAGAGGGGGAATTGCTCAGCTCAAGGTTATGCCAAATTTTCAGAGTTTTCACACATATTGCCAAATTGCTCTCCAGAAATATTGTACCAATTTCTACTCTCATCAGCAATACAGGTTGGGGAGAGAAAATGCTGTTATAAGATTTAATTTAACTTGACTCTTCAAAGATTCCATCCCTCCTGCAAGGAAGATAAAGATCCCCACATCTTCAGAAAGCTGGCAATTGAGAAGACTTTAGAAAAAACTCAGTGCCAACCGAAAAAGCCTTTTTCTATCTAATAACATCAAAGGAGGTGCAGTTTAAGGCCTAGCAATGGAAAGAACATGGTTAGCTTTGGTTATTGAAAATATCTTAAAGTGAATGCATGAGAAAAGAAACAGCATAGCATACTGGAAAGAACATTGGATATAGTGCTAAGTATCTGGATTTGAATCCCAGTTTCCAGTTTACTCTAGGCAAGCTATTTAACCCTCTGAGGCTTGTTTTCTTTAATATAAAAATGAGGCAGTTGGCACCCCCTGTTTCTCCTACTTTTGTGAAGTTTAAACTTGTTAATGGAAAAGGTTTAATCATAGTTGTTGAAATTCGCATTCTCCTTAAATTTTATGATATTGCTATTCAATATTTTATATTCTCCATAACTGGTTAGAGATGAGAAATAAATTCCTCTTCTTCAGTAAAGAGAACCATTCAATCAGGCATTCCTCAAGGCTTTATTTTTGTTGCTGTTGTTTGGGTTTTTTATTAATAACAGATGTTAGTTTTTTTAATCAACTTTTACATACAATAAAATGCATTCATTTTAAGTGTATAGCTCAATGAGTTTTGACAAATGTATACACCCATGAAATTGCCACTTCAATTAAGGGAAGATAGAGTATTTCCATCATCCCAGGAAGTTCCCAACAAGTGCCACTTTGTAGTCAATCCCACTCCAGGCAACTCCTGATTTTATTATTATACTTTAGTTTTACCTGTTTTCAAATTTCATACAAGTGGAATCATACAATGTGTACTTCTTAGTGTCTGTCTTCTTTCACTCCAATATGTATTTGAAATGCATCCATGTTGTTCTATGTACTTAATTTTTATTTGCTTGTTTGTTGTTTGTTTTATCCCTGAGTAGTATTCCATTGTATGAATATACTAGCTTATGTTTATTATTCACCTGTGTAGACCTTTGAGTTGATTACAATTTTGGGCTCTTATGAATAAAGTAGCTGGGAATATTAGTGTATAAGTCTTGTTGTGGACATGTTTTATATCTTGAGGAAGGTGAGTAAATATCTACAAGTGCAATTGCTGAAGTATATAGTGATTGTATGTATGCTTAATTTTATAACCATTAAACTATTCTTGATCATGATGTGCTACTTTACATTCTACCAGCAATGTATGAAACTTCCAGTTGTTCCACATCGTCACCTGCATTTGATATCTATAGTCTTTTTAATTTTTGACACCCAGGTATGTGTGAAGCAATATCTCACTGTGGTTTTAATTTTTATTTCCCTGATGAATAACAATATTGAGCATCTTTTCATGTCCTTATTGGCCATTTGTATGTTTTTTGCTGCAGTGTTCATTCAAGTCTTTTTCCTATTTTAATGGATTTTTTGTCTTCTTATTAATTTCCTATTAATATTAAGGTACAAAAGTTCTTTGTGTATTTTCTGCTGTGAAGTGTCAAGCCTTTTTTCCATTTTTAATGAGTTGTTTGTATTCTTATTGTTGAGTTGTCAGAGTTGTTGTATATTCTGCTTACAACTTCTTTGTCAGATGTATCCACCATGAAACCATGAATTGAATAGCTTTTCTACTCTATGATCACCTTTTGTTTTTTTTTTACTGGTGTATTTGGAAGAATATTTTTATTTTTATGAAGTTCAAATTATAATCTTTTAAGTTGATCATTAGTGCATAGAGTAGCAATCAAGATTTTTTTCATATGGATATCCAATTGTTCCAGTACCACTTGTTGAGAAAATTATCACTTTTTTGTTGGGTTATCTTGTTGCTTTTGTCAAAATGGATTTATCACATATATTGTGAATCTGTTTCTGAATTTTCTATTTTGTGCCATTGATTATATGCCTACCCTACTAACAATTCCATATTGATTACTGTTTTATTTATAGTAAGTAATGAAACCAGACAGTATACGTCCTTTAGCTTTGTTTCTCTTTTTCAAAGTTATTTTGATTATTCTAGGTTTTTTGCATTTCTGTGTAAATGTTAGAATCAGCTTCTCAATTTCTACAAAAAATGACTCCTAGGATTTCAGTTAGGATTGCATAGAATCTGTATTTCAAATTGGAGAAAATGAATATCTTAACAATACTGAGACTGCCAATCCATAAACATGGTGTATTTCTTTATTTAGAATTTTTAAAATTTCTCTCAAGATTGCTTATTATTTTCAGTACAAAATACTTTTATGGTTTTTGTTATATTTATTTAAGTGTATTTTATGTTTTTTGATACTATACTAATTTTTTTGTTTTATTGTATATTGTTTGTTACTAACATATGAAAATACAAGTTTTATAAAATTTGAATATTTCCTGTGACATTACTAAATTTATTCATTAATTATAGTTGTTTATTTCACTGTATTTTATAGACTTCTTAGGCTTTACTGTATACATAATCATGTCATTTGTGAAAAGAGACAGTCTTACTTTTTCCTTCTCAAACTTCATCCCTTTTATTCTTTTTCTTACTTTGTTTCACTGGCTAGCAACTCCATAAAAGTGGTGAGAACAGACATCCTTTCCATATTCTTAATCTTAGAGAAAAGCATTTGATGTTTCACCATTAGCTACAATATTTGCTACAGATACATTGAATATCTCTTTATTGATTTTTGAAAGGTCCCTTTTATTCCTAATATGTTAAGAGAT